GCCCGTGGTGGCGGGGGCGCGCCCCCCTCCGCCGACGCCGCTCCGCGGAGCTGCGTCGCCAGCGCTGGCCCGCAGCATGCACGGACTGCCCCTCGCGCGGGCCCTCCAAGGCGGTGGGCCCTGGGCGACGTCCCAGCGCCTCGTGCCCTGCCCCGCCCATCCTCTCTCTCCGTTATCCCTCATCCACGCCATTCCATATGGATGTTTGTATGTGTATTAGTGTCAGTGTGTCTATTGTTTGCTTCATTACTTGTCGTATTAGTATATGTCGTACTGTTAATATGAGTATGTTTGCAATTATTTTCATATGTTGCATCATTCGCATTATTTTCCTTACCAGTATTGTGATGATCATGGTTGTTATTTTGTTATGCATATTCCATTGTGTATGATCATCATTTTGCAGATTACGAGTCGAATTCGATTTTTTATTACCTAACAGCGAAGACTGATAGGTTTCTAGTAGTGTCAAAAGAGCTCACAGATCACTCCACAGGGGGGTCCGGGCAGGTGTTGGGGCGTTTCCGGGCGGCATGAGCCGGGCTCGTTTTTCACCAACAGTCACACACTTCGTGCTCTTCGCCTTCCCAGAACTCCATTCCCAGGCCACATTCTGGGGGGCCGGATGCAACTGTAGGCCACTTCGTGCTCTTCGACATCCCAGAACGCCATTCCCGGGCCACATTCTGGGGGGCCGGATGCAACTGTAGGCCACTTCGTGCTCTTCGACATCCCAGAACGCCATTCCCGGGCCACATTCTGGATGCCCGGAGCCAACTGTAGGCCACTTCGTGTTCTTCCATTTCCCAGAACTCCATTCCCGGGCCACATTTTGGATGCCCGGAGCCAACTGTAAGCCACTTCGTGCTCTTCGAGTTCCCAGAACTCCATTCCTGGGCTACATTTTGGATGCCCAGAGCCAACTCTAGTCCACTTCCTGGTCTTCGAGTTCCCAGAACTCCATTGCCGGGCAACATTTTGAATAGCCAGACGCTTCATATTCCTTCCGCCACAGCTGTGTTTGGTTCAGGACTTGCTAGTGACACTGCAGTCCTCTGCATTCAATTGGCCACTACATTCATTCACTGCAGTCCACTGAGTTTTGATTGCAATGGCGTTCCCCTGGCCGTACCCCCATGTCCAACGTTCATCCGCAGCCTCTGCTCCGCGAGGCTCGTCCGAAGTGTCGCCGCCTCGCGGTGCTTCTCAGCCTGCGCCGCCTCGCGGTGCTTCTCAGCCTGCGGAGGAAGGTGGACAGACGCCTGGTTCTGGCGCTGTGCAGCCTGCGTCTTTCACGGTCGCCTCGTTCAATTTCGGGTTCGAGCAGGGCATGATGACTGGTAAGCAGGCGGCCACTCACTGCGCTAACTTCGGAAGGTTGTGCGCCAAGATAGTGGAGACCGCTGATGCTGATATGGTCTGTGGCTGCGAGGTCGGTGCGTTCCGTGAAGGCTTTCGCCGAGCAGGGATCAACGTGACAGAGATCCTCAGTAAGCCTTTCGGTGATGGCATTCGCTTCTTGGAGGTCGACAACTACTTGACTCTCTGGGGGTTCCGCGGTGCTTCTCAGCCTGCGGAACTGACTCTGTGCGAAGACAGCAAAGTTTACAGGCCTCCTAGCGGCCGAGATATTGATGCTGTTATTTCACATTTTGAGGTGAACAAACCAGGCCATGACAAGTTCCACGTGGTGATCGCCAACATGCACATCGTGTGCGGCAAGAAACCGCCGAGCATCCAGACTCGAAAGCGGACAGTTCGCCATCTCCGCTTGCACCTGGACGGCCTGGCCAAGATTCTTGAGAATCTAAACGAGGCAGTCGTTGTGCTTGTAGTCGGCGACGACAACCTCACTTTCCAGGAGGCGCGGGAGGCTTACCAGCGCGAGCAGAACGACGAGAAGGTATGGGAGGTCCATGCCACTCCGGCCGACCTCAAAGGCGACCACGTCGCGGTCTGCGGAGCAGTCGCCCGTTTCTGCTCCATTGCCGTTGGCGCGTCTTTTACGGATCGTGGCATGCGCAACGACGCACACGATGCGGTGGCGGTTGTGCTCACTCTCCCTGGTGCTATTCAGCCTGGGGAGAGCAAGAGGCGGAAAATTGTCGTCGAAAACGTCTCCGACGCCGACGTCAGCGTACAGGCGGACCGCGAGTCTTCTGTGCATTGGGATCGGTCGCCGAGTTCTGCTCCTCCGCTTTCACCGACTTCACCGGGTGATCCCGACTACGTCGAGGATGTCGTTCAGAATCGCGCGGACGACTTGCACAGGGAGCTGAGGCAGCTTTGGGACGACAGGTACGACGAGGAGTACGATCCGAAAGTCCTCCATCATCTCAGTCTCTTGCTTTTCAAAAAGAGGAAGTCCACGGAGCCAGCGGACACTGATCCAGCTGGCGCTCCTCAGCCTGGCTCGGAATATGACGCGGCCTTTGCGTCTCAGGAGGAGACTGGCCGAGCCATTCTCTCTGTCCTTAAGCTTCGACATGACTTTCTGCGGAGCAAGAACATCGACGACATGCGCTACGTTCTCACGGAGCCTGAGCGCCAGGAATTGGTCAGAGTAGCTCGCGACCAGTACGAGCAGTCGCGGCAGCAGCGTGCGCTTCAGGAACGGGATATCGAAAAGGGAAAAGCGAAAGGCAAGTCTGCGCCACAAGGGGGCCATGCGGTTCCGCAGGGTCCGAACAAAGGGCCAGGCGGTAAGAAAGGTTCTCACGGTGCTTCTCAGCCTGCGGGAAAAGGTGGCCAGGCCAAGGGTGCAGGTCTGGGTAGCGTCGCCAAGTTTGTGAAAGACCAGAAGCGTAAGCGGTGGCATCGCCATTTGCAACGTGTGGCCGGTGCTAAACAGATCTGGGAGGTGCTGGCCTTCTCAGGGCGCTTCGACGTTGATTGGTTAACGCAAGCGTTGCAAGCTGATCACAGTGAGGGCCGTGATGCAGCAGTTCCCGAGGAAGCTCTGCGGCAACAGCGGCGCCGGCTGCACCACCAGAAGGCCGACGCCATCGCGCGCTACAACGAGGGGGAGCGGCTTTCCCTCCATCTGTCTGCCCAGGCTGGCCAGGCAAAGCCGAACTTCACGCGCAGGCAGCAGGACGCGTTGCAGATGTTTGAGAGCGGAGCGCTGCTTCAAATCCGCAACCAAGCGATTCTGGCGTGCGGGCGCGGCCGTCTGTTCAGGGGCGATGGCGACTACCTGGACATCGGCGGCAGCACGGGCGGTGGCTCCAGGCGCATCATCGATTCTTGGCAGCCGCCGGACTGGCGTGACTTCCTCCAAGACGATCAGGACATCTGAGTTTTGCAAGTCTCTCTGCCCGCGGTGCTTCTCAGCCTGCGGTCTGCCGCTCTCCAGCTGCGGTCTCGAGCAGTAGTGTTCGAAAGCATGCGAGTTCCTGCGGTGCTTCTCAGCCTGCAGGTTTCGCAGCCTGCGCTCTGCAGTACAAGTGCTTTTCAGCATGCGACATCCTGCGGTGCTTCTCAGCCTGCAGGGTTCGCAACGTGCGGTTTGCAATGCATTCCTTTTCAGTATGCGAGTTCCTGCGGTGTTTCTCAGGCTGCAGGGCTCCGAGGCTCTTCGCTTCGATGCCAATGTTTTCAGACACCGTAGCTCCGTTCCGTAAACGTCTTCCAAGAGCCGCTCGCAACCTTTTGCAGCTGGCTGTCTGCACGCTTCGCCGGCTTTTGCTGCGCGGACAATTTTCTCACACACGTCAGCGCCGTTTGTAGGCGTCAGAAAAACATGTAGACATTCACGAAGGGCTCAGTCTGTATATCGTCACATCATTACATACGCAGTCGTCGAACACATCGGTGTACATTCAGCGCTTTGTCCTTCTAGCTGGGTTGCTTCGTGCTGAGGCTGAGGCTGATGCAGGCTGAGGCTGAGGCAGGCTGAGGCTGAGGCCGAGGCTGACGGCAGACTGAGGCTGAGGCTGAAGCAGGCTGAGGCTGAGGCAGAGGCAGGCTGAGGCTGAGGCTGAGGCAGGCTGATGCTGAGGCAGGCTGAGGCTGAGGCTGAGGCTGATGCAGGCTGAGGCTGAGGCAGGCTGAGGCTGAGGCCGAGGCTGAAGGCAGACTGAGGCTGAGGCTGAAGCAGGCTGAGGCTGAGGCTGAGGCAGGCTGAGGCTGAGGCAGGCTGAGGCTGAGGCTGAGGCAGGCTGAGGCTGAGGCTGTGACTGCGACTGCCGTTGCCACTGCGACTGTCATCGCGAATGCGACTACGACTGCGAGAACAGCAGAACTCTACAACTGGATTCTCATCTGAATCTTAAGGGGAATGCTTCCAGACATGCTCCTACACATCGCTGTTAGGTTGCTTTGCCGGGATAATTTATTTATATTAATAGCATTAGCATGTTTAGCCTACTTCGTGTTATTAGTCTTCCTCTTGTACGTACTGCGTCTGAATCGTATCATGTGTTTTCTCTTCGCACTAGTATTAGTATGTGTCGTATTCGTAGTATTAGGTGTGCTTCATTTTCACTATTAGTAGTATTCGTATTCTTCAAATTGCTACCATTAATAGTTGTATCCTGATGTGTGTCGTATCATTGTATTACTGTTACGAGCATTGATAAATATTTACGGATGGTATTCATAGTCGTCTCGTGATTCGTAATACGGTTTGTAGTAGTTGTCTGTATGGTATGGTTGATCGTAAGTATCATCATGAATAAAACCATTATGTGTATAGGCATTAACATTATTGTTACGATTAGGATTAATAGTAATAGTATTTGTAGTATTGGTACGAGCACTGGTTTTCTTATTATCATCGTTATTCGTGTTATTATCATGATGAGTATTCTTATTCTGCTATGTAGTAACATTCTTATCGTTAGTATTAATCCTCTTCTTTTTCTTCCGAATATTTGCCGTGTTTTCCATCTTTCCTCCTCCTCCCTCGCCCTCGTCTCCTCGCTCCGTATCCTTTCGCCTACTTTTCCCGCGCCCTCGTCCCCCCCCTTTCCTTCCAGCCCCCCCTTCCTCCTGCACAGCCGTGTCGGCCGGCCAGGGCCGCTCTGCAGGCCTCGGCGCTCTCCTGCCGCCGCCCCCCCTCGGCTCCCCCCGGGTCGCCCCCGTCCGCGTGTGCTCCGCCCGGGCATGCGCGTGTCCGTGGTCACCTGCGCCGGGCGAGCGCGGCCGCGCGCCGAGGGGCGTCCCCTCGCCGGAGTGGCCCTTGCACGTGCGCAGCTTCCAGGGGGGCCCAGGCACGCGGGCCGCCGCGGTCGTTTCGCACGCAGCGATCGGCAGGCCGCACACCGGAGGCCACTCTGGCCCAGGGTCACTTCCTGCGCGTGGCCGGCGAGAGCTGGCGGCCCTGGAGGCCAGCCCGTCGTGGCGGCTGCTGGACGTGCTCGCGGGGACGCCCGCGCAGGGTGGCGCGCCGGGCAGCCGGAGGCGGGTGTTCCTCGGGGAGATGGAGCTTCGCGGCGGCGCGACCCTGGCCGATCTCGGTGCCACTGGCGGCAGCGAGCTTACGCTGGTGGTGACTCCCGTGCATGTGCTGACCGCCTCCAGTGACTACACGGCGAAGATCTGGTGCGCGGAATCTGGCCAGTGCCTGCGAACGCTGGAGGGCCACGATAATTATTGAATCGTTTCGCTCATTCCGCCGGCCCGTGATATGGCATCGCTGGTTTTTACCTAACAGCGAAGACTGATAGGTTTCTAGTAGTGTCAAAAGAGCTCACAGATCACTCCACAGGGGGGTCCGGGCAGGTGTTGGGGCGTTTCCGGGCGGCATGAGCCGGGCTCGTTTTTCACCAACAGTCACACACTTCGTGCTCTTCGCCTTCCCAGAACTCCATTCCCAGGCCACATTCTGGGGGGCCGGATGCAACAGTCACACACAAAGTGCTCTTCGACATCCCAGAACGCCATTCCCGGGCCACATTCTGGGGGGCCGGATGCAACAGTCACACACTTCGTGCTCTTCGAGTTCCCAGAACGCCATTCCCGGGCCACATTTTGGATGCCCGGAGCCAACTGTAGGCCACTTCGTGCTCTTCGACTTCCCAGAACTCCATTCCCGGGCCACATTTTGAATGCCCGGAGCCAACTGTAGGCCACTTCGTGCTCTTCGAGTTCCCAGAACTCCATTCCCGGGCCACATTTTGAATGCCCGTAGCCAACTGTAGGCAACTTCGTGCTCTTCGACTTCCCAAAACTCCCATTCCTGGGCTACATTTTCAGCAGGGGCAAGAGCACGACGAGGGGGAGGACGAGCAAGACCAGGAGGACGAGGACGAGCAGGAGCAGGACGAGGAGCAGGAGAAGCAGGAGAAGAAGGACGAGCAGGAGGAGGAGGAGGACGAGCAGGAGGAGGAGGACGACCAGGAGGAGGAGGACGACCAGGAAGAGGAGGAGGAGGAGGAGGAGGGGAGGGGGAGGAGTACCAGGAGGAGGAGGAGGAGGAGGGGAGGAGGAGGCGGAGAGGAGGAGGATGAGGAGGAGGAGGAGGAGGGAGAGGAGGAGGAGGAGGAGGGAGGAGGAGGGAGGAGGAGGAGGAGGAGGAGGAGGAGGAGGAGGGGGGAGGAGGCAGGGGGAGAACGACCAGAGAGGAGGAGGAGGAGGAGGAGGAGGAGGAGGAGGAGGAGGAGGAGGAGGAGGAGGAGGAACATCACGAGGAGGAGGACGAGCAAGACGAGGAGGACGAGAACGAGGGCGACCAGGAAGAGGAGGAGGAGGAGGAGGAGGGGAGGGGGAGGACTACCAGGAGGAGGATGAGGAAGAGGAGGAGAAGGAGGAGGAGGAGGAGGAGGAGGAGGAGGAAGAGGAGGAGGAGGACGAGGAGGAGGAGGAGGAGGACGAGGAGGAGGAGGGGGGGGGAGAGCACCAGGAGGAGGAGAACGAGGACCACCAGGAGGAGGAGGAGGGGGAGGAGGAGGAGGAGGAGGAGGAGGAGGAGGAGGAGGAGGAGGAGGAGGAGGAGGAGAGAGCACCAGGAGGAGGAGGACGAGCAAGACGAGGACGACGAGAACGAGGACGAGCAAGAGGAAGAGGAGGAGGAGGAGGAGGAGGAGGAGCAGGAGCAGGAGAAAGAGGAGGAGGAGGAGGAGGAGGAGGAGGAGGAGCAGGAGAAAGAAGACGAGCAGGAGGAGGACGAGGACGAGCAGGAGGAGGAGGAGGAGGACGAACAGGAGGGGAGGGCGGCCGGCTGCCCCGAGTCGTGCGCACAAGGGCTCTGAGGAAGGCTCCCTAAGCTCGAGACGCTTTGAATACTTTGTAGTTTCCTCGTAGCTTCCTTTCCATGCCGTTGTAGTTTCCACGCGCTCCTGCGTCGCCAAGTTTCTTCTTGCAGCGTCCTTGTCGTGTCGCGGGGTGCGTTTGCGTCACTTCGGTGTTGCTGCGCCTTGAGACGTGTCTCTGCGCTCCCTAAGCTCGAGACGCTTCGAATACTTTGTAGTTTCCTCGTAGTTTCCTTTCCATGCCTTTGTAGCTTCCACGCACTCCTGCGTCGCCGAGTTTCTTCTTGCAGCGTCCTTGTCGTGTCGCGGGGTGCGTTTGCGTCACTTCGGTGTTGCTGCGCCTTGAGACGTGTCTCTGCTGCTTCTTCGTCCCATCGGGGAGTCCAGCGTCACCGAATTTGTTCCAGTATTGTGCTTGTCGTTCCAGGTCGTGCGTACGCGCGCAGAATGTTTCTCTGCAGCGTCCTCGTCGCATCAGGATGTCCAGCGTCGCAGAATGCATCCTTGTAGCGCCTCTTCTTCCAGGGCGACGTGGCCCTGAGTCGCCGCGGACGACTCGCCGCGGACGGTTCCATTCGATTCCACGGGCGATCGTGCGCATGTAGTTTGCCACGCGCCTGCGCGCGCGGAGAGGGCCTGGGCGCCCTGTCGCCTGCGGGCGACCGCGCGGGTTAGTCCCCGCAAAAGCCAAAGAGGGCATTTCCACACGCCGGGGAAAGCCTAAAAGGGCTTTCGTCTGCCTGATCCTCCCCCCCTCTTTCCTTCTCTTCTTTCATCGAAGTCAGAACCCCCGCCCCCTATGACGTCCTCCGCTGGCCTGGGTGGTCTACTCAGGTCGCGGAGGGGGATAGGGGGGGGGTCGTTGCCACGGCTGGTGCCTCGATTTCACGACGGGGAGGGGGGGGGTGCACCGTTCCCTCGGATGGGCACATCCCCCCTTCCAAGGGCCTCCGAGCCCTCCCTCTCCGTCCTTTTCTTCTCCCTTATCCTTCCCTCCCTCGCGGTTTTCGAAGCCTTTGGCGTCTCCGCCCACCACAGCGGGGATCTCGACCCCCCAATGGGATTCGTGGAGCGGGGGGGGCCTTGAGAAGCGAAACATTTCTTGGGGCGGGGCCACACAGCACACACATCACATCCATCGAGTCACGCACACATACAGCAACACGCTTTCTCGACTCCACAGGGGGGGTGCTTCGTGGAGGCATCACTTGTAACTTTGCAATTCTGTAATCATTGCCGTTCTGGTTCAAAGAACTTGGATTGCAGGAGTTCGCGGCAAAAGCGAGCCTTGTCCGCATCCGCTCAACCAGTCTCACCGTGCCGTGCACGGTGCTTCTCAGCCTGTGTCACTGTGCGCTCCACGGTGATCCTCCGGGTGAGCTACCATGGCTGCTGCTGCAGAACAGCCGACGTCTCCACTGGGTTTTCTCACGAAGAGCAGCGCCAAAACCCAAGACTTCCTTGTCCGAGTATACAAGCCCAGGGAGATCAAGTACTCGTACAAGAGCAGGAACAATGGCCAGCTAGTCCATGCAAACCGATTCACATGCATTCTGCTTGGCACAGACTCAGAGCACTATTGTGAGGCCATCCTCAAAGGAACTCCAGCAGAAGTCCAAGCTGCTCTGAAAAAGTTCCCTCCGATGACGGCGTGGAAACTCTCCAGCGTCGGCCTGGACAGTCGGCAGCAGGACGCTTTTGTGCATACGTCTGTTCGTGTCGCGGTCGACCTCAAGCGCACAACCTGCAGTCCAGTGCTCAAAAGCTCTCCGGGGGAGACCTCCTTGGCATCGGCGCCGGCTCCAGCGACTACAGTGGCAGACATGATGAACATCAAATCGCAGCGTTGCTTCGATGTCATGGCTGTGGTTCATTCTGTTTCAGAAACCCGCACTCCCGCTGGCCACCCTCCAGTGGCAAGTGCACATCTGGTCGACGGCACACAGACGAGTAACTCCAAGACAGCGGAGGCTGTGATTGCAGTCTGGGGATCCACCAACATAGAGCTTTGTCGCTCTCACAAAGGACAACCGCTGCTGTTTCTCAACGTGGCGGGCAAATTCGACGGCAAACTGGAGCTGAACTTGTCGCAAGATCGCGTGGTGGATTCCGCATGCTCTTGTCCCAGAATGACTCAACTACACGACTTAGCAGCCACTCAAGACTTCGCGATGGACCGGGAGCAGCTGACCACCGCTCATGCGGGTACTTGGGATCCAGACCAGGCTTCGCAGATTCTCACCGGAGAAGCACTCCTCTCCTGCTGTGCCTTTTTGGCTATGGCGTCGGATGATCCGAATGCAAACTTGCCACTCTTGTTGCAGGTCAATGGGATGAGGCTTGAGGAACCGGAGCCAGCCGACTCTGTGGTGGAGAACACAGGCGAGCGCGTGTTCTTTACGACTACTGCTCGTGATTTCAGTGGCTCGTGCAAAGTCGGCGTATCACAAGCGGCAGCCTTCGCCTTGACTGGCATTGACAGCATGCAAGAATTCAAAAAAGTTCACGACGAGAAAGCTATCTCCTTCCCTCCACTGAGCAATTGTCGCATCATACGACGCGTGCGCAATGTGGCTGCGAATGCACAGGATGACACACCTCAACGGACTTTCGTCAACACGACTGTGGTGGCCGTTTCACCGCTTCAGATATCGCACGCCCCGAATACGTCTTACAATGTCGTCTTGGAGATCCTGAAGCAGCGCCGCGAGAGCCAGGATGCAATGCTCGCGGCACAGCTCTCTGAGATACGGTCTTGCCCCTTCTACGGCATGCGCGTGCAGTACTCACCAGCGGGTGGAGGGGGTGACGCTTCTCAGCTTACCCGGAACTGCCACTTGGCAGTCGTTCTCGTTCGTACCACGCAGAAGTCTCGGTGCGTATCCACTGCGGCTGGCTTCGTCGTGTCCACACCAGGTGTCACGGACGCTTCTGACGGTGAGTCTTCCCACTCAGTGACGATTCACGGACACTGCTCAGTTGACAACTTGCTCTCGTTCAAAATGGATCCGCCCAACCGAGCGAAGCACAGAGTCTGCTTGTTGCTCATTACTGGCTGTTCAAAAGACGGCATGACGGTGCACAGCGTGACCCACATTGACGACTCCGTCGTGTCTGAGGCGCAGTACTTCATTAAAAAATTGAGAACACTGGGGATGCGCACAGAGCTTCAGCAATCAGGCGAGCATAAGCGGATGAATGAGTGGAGCACGACGCCGGAATCCGCCAAGAAGTGCCGCATTCTTGAAAGCCACCCCTCAGGAGAAAGCTTGAGGTGAGCTTTCTCCTGTCTTGTCAGCGATGCTTCTCAGCTTGCTGGACATGGCAAGCATCTTTGTCTTGCGCCTTGCGGGATGCCAACTAGGTTTGCCTCAAACATATCGTTTGGTAGTTTCGTTGTTTATGC